CGCAAGCCTTGAGACAGGCCTGCGATCCGTGGACGGGGGAGTGCATCTCTACTCCCGAGCCCGAGGGCAAGGCAGAGAGACCTAGAAGCCAGGGTTCAAGCTCTCCTGACTGCTTGAACCGCCAGGAGTGTGACGACGGCAATCCCAACACATACCGAAAGCGTTGTATCGAGGGCCAGCTCTTCGACTGAACTTATGCAGCGTGCACGAGAGACCGAAGCCGTTTTGCTCGGGTGTGAGAAAGCACTCAGGTGCGTCGGAGACCTTATTCAACAACCTTTGTATGCCTTCCAGGGCTGGCGTAGTTGCGACCACAGTGACCGGGGTTGCACTGTGAATGCAAGAGGCTAGCCGGCTAGAGGCGGGCGGTGACATGCCTTCGCTGCGAAGCGGACGTCGAAGGCACAGTGGTCGAAGCCTCCGGCATCGATTTCACCACTGTCGAGCGATACTACGGCAACGTTCTCGCAGAGACGGAATGTGAGGACTCGCTGAGCTGTAGGGCTATATAGAACCAAAAGACGTTACCAGCGGCAATTGCATCCAAACACATCCGTGTTATCTGTCTTGCTTCCTCCTCAAAGCGCGCTTGCATGGATCGAAGTTGAACGACACCCCGCGAGCTTCCACTCTGATTCGTCAGCGTCGTGGATGAAGTAGGCATTCGGCCAAGGGCAGGCGGAGCCGCCCCGTGTGTGATACTGTTGTTGAGGCTTCTTTGCGTCCTTCTCAGGAGCAGTGCTCCCAAGATGCTCTCTGTCGGGGCTACTCGCAGCCTGGCGAAGACTCGGGTCTTGTGAATCTCTGCTCTCCGCCCTCCCTCATGTTTCAAGAAACGAGGCTCCTTCGCCTCCTAAGGTTTCAAGATCCATACACTAAGATTCGTGTTTTCCGAATTCATGGCCGAATATCAAGAATTTGCTTTGTACTCTGGTTTCAGGTATGGTTACTATGTCTGCACCTCTTCCGCAATTAGCAACGATGCAGCCGACGCCATGGATTAGGGTGAATCAGTGTTTCTTGTTTACAGCACAGTTTCGTGATGAAGCGTTGATCTGCATCTATGCGAGTGTGCGAGCTCACGTTTGAACACCGTGCCTGCGAGGCTACATCTATGGAGGCTGGCCTTTGATGAACAAGCATGGACATGTATCGGTTCGTTTACGAACCAAGATCCGGTTTCATGTCGTTTGAAGTGCTTGGGTGGGGATGTTGTATTCAGCTGCCTGAGGACCACGCACCGTAGATCCCAGTGAGGAGTATTGGGGCAAGCTGCTCTTCCCGCATTTTACGACCGGGTTTAGCTTTCGAGGTCGTTCTGCATCAATTTGCACCTGTTGTGTTAGACTTCGGGCTTCATGTTCAGCTACGGCACCCAAATGGCTGGGCTGTCGCAGAATTGTTATGCAGAAGTTCACGTCCAGGACGCTTTCATGGTAGTAATAATGGATGCTCGCACTTGTAGAGACTATGTTGGCAATGTTGGCACCAAGTGGCGAACCCAACGTAGCTGCGAAGACGCTGAAGTGTCTCACGTCAGTTTAGTGTCGAGCAGCCGCTGAGGAAGTGGATGCGACTGGAGCCCGCTGCAATGCCTGCTGTCAGTCATGGCATCTCTTGTTTTGTCAAGCAGGACTGGCTTGTGCAGAAAAATATGCAGTTTCTCTCTCTCTCTCTCTCTCTCTCTCTCTTTTTCGCTCACTCTCTTCCTCAGCCTCTCTCTCTCTCGCTTCGTCTCCCCTGCCTCTCCCTTCTGTCCTTTCCGGTTCCCCTTTCTCCGCTCCCCTCTCCATCCCTCCTTCCCTTTCCACTTTCCCCGTCATCCTCGCATCTCCTCTGCACCCTTCCACCTTCCACCTTCTCCATCTTCCCCTTCTTCCCTTACGGTAACTGCTGTCGGTGATTGATATATGGTGGGTTGAAGGACAGCGCGAGGGCCCGACCATTCATCGACGAGAAGGCTGCGTGGTTCTTCATCACGGTTCTCATTGTGGCCCAACGCCCAGAACTCCAAGAGACGAAGACGGTCCGGATCTTTTGGGGGGAAATAAGTCGGTGCGTTTTGAAGCGAGGTTGTCTTGCCAGCCTTGTGGGGCCTTGTGATGGTCTGGAGACCCCTCTCGCGCTCCTTCAGGCCCGGAGCGTAGCGGAGTAGCAGAGTAGCAGACAGCTCCATGCTACCGAAGCCGGATGACCGTAGTACGTGCTGGCCAGGTCACTCACCGGTTGCTGCGGTGGCGTGCCAGATGATGAGGAGCAATCCGCTGTTTGCAGACGAAGTCGAGAAATCCCTCTCAAATCAGTTGTGGCAGCATGCAATTCGTGCCAGTGCCAGGAGTTTGAGGAGCCTGTAAAAGAAGGCCTGACCTTGGAATCTGCAGACTCTGCCAAAGTCCGTAGTTGCGGCTCCGTGTGAGAGTTTGGTGTCAGCATGAAGGTGGGCCAATGAGGCAGACTCGAAAAGAACAACTAAAGCGATCTTCGCGCCATGGCTGCAGCAAGTCCCGTGGGAGGTGGTTGAGCAGCTCTAGATTTCGAGGGCGTCATGATTCGCAGCGCCCATCAGGTTTCTTATGAGAGCTCTCTAGTGTAAGCTTGAGCAGTCGGAGCGGATGGTGTTTTGCCTCTATGGCCAGGCTATTCTGCGAGCGAAGCTGTTGTTGTTCTGTCGCCTGACAAACGAGAATCTCAAAAGGGTATTCCTGGATGCGACCCCAAAAGAAAACGAGCTTGCCAATGCTTTGCGGCAAGAGCGCCGTCCTGGTAGATTCGTTGGTCATGGAGTCATGGAACAAGATGGAACATGAAGGTCGAATCTCTCCATCTCCGACGGGAACTCCGACTCCAAGGTGCTGGCAGGGGAGGCCGAACCAGGGAGCTCTCAGAATTTCAACAATAATTTTGACGCTACGCCGCCCGCTTCGGCTCCTGAGGGATGAAACGGCAAAGCCTTCTGGATTCTGTATCACTCAGGAAATCTGTTTAGGTCACGGCAATATTGAGATTTCTTTGAGCAGGACTCCCACGATTCAACAGGTGCGGGGGTGCCGTTGGGCGTGGGGCAGGGGAGAGGGGGAGGGGAGGTGCGGCAAAAAACACTAAAAGCAGAAAAAGAGGGGATCAGGGGGCAAAAGGCCAGAAAATCTGGTAAAATGAAGGGAAGCCGGGCAAGGGGGTGGCAAATGAGTGCAAAAAGCGGGTGTCACCGAACTTTCTAATTGCAGGGAGAAGGAGAAGGTGGAGGGTACTTGAGGTAACCCGCAAGACGCCTGGGCCTGTGGCCTCGGCAGACTTCTCCATGTGGTGACCTCAATTTGGGAGGCATACTGGCCAGAGGCTGGGGGCACATCAATTGCACAACTCTGCATCCGATTTGCCCACCAACTTTCATGCTTGAATTCCCCGCAGTCAGTGGTCGTTGCGTGCCAGCGTTGGCGCCCGTTGTACGTGCAACAGGATGACTTGCCATCAGAGAGCAGTTCGCGGATGAATTCTGGATGCACTTACCATGCCGGCTATGCACTGCCCTTGAACCCCGTGTACACTGCGTGCTGAAGCGATGCCGCATTCCAGCAAGGAGTGTAGATGCTCTTGCAGAGCATCCTAGTGCCGTGCCATCGGATGACCTCGAGCAGGTCAAGCTACATAAGGCGGGAAATGTCCTTGTAGAATCATCGGTAGGGATTGTGGAATCGTTTTGCGAGTTTGTTTGGACAGCAATTCCTCTTGAGTCTGGAATCGAAAATCCGGATGTGCACACCTCCGGATGACCCTTCTCGCCTCGGGTAGTGACAGACCGATCACTTAAGTGGATGGTAACTGGTAAGACGCAGGCAATTTTTTCGAAGCCGCATGGTGACCCGGTGTGAATCACATGCATTCACATGCCCTGTCAGGATCGAGAGGGATGACGGGTGGTGCAATGCAGGGTCCTCAAAAAGCAATGCCGACAGGCGGCGGCTGCGGAGTCTCCTCGTTCGCCAAACGATCCCCGTGGCCAGGTGCAGCAGGCAAGCGGTGAGCCAACCTCAATGCTTGCAATTCAGACGTGACTTTGCGAGGACCTCGCAAACCAGGGCTCTGCCGAGGAGCTATCCACGGAAGCGAGCAAGAACAGCAAGGACGGGTAAGCTTGCTTCGAAGGGCTAGGTCCTAGGTTCTTCCACTCCTTTTCATGATCTGCCAGGACGAGCCGGTTGGGGCATAGCTGGTCTCAAGCTGTCTCGCGGCCATGTGGCTTGCAGACCCGCGAAGCGGATTGCCTCGTGCACAGTGCAATTGGTCGCAAGGGCACCTGACCTTTCGCGACACATGCTTCGCGGCCTGGGCCAGTGTAAGCTCGAGACTAAACTAAGCCGAAAGCCTGTAGCAATAGAATACCGCAAAGACCCAAAGTAGTATCGTCTCACCACGTGACTTCGCGGACAAGCGATTTTTGGGAGAGCATCCGATGAATTCGATGCGCGCCTCGGGTGCAGCGAGCACCTCTCCTTCTCCCTGAAAGCTTGTTGCCGGAAAAGTCCTTCCACTCAAGACCAGACTTTATGAGCATAATTAGCAAAATAAGCGAACAGTGAATAGTGGGCTATCATGTGCTTGTGCTCAGTAGACATCGTAGCTCATGTCCCCATGCACCAAGTGCCACGGGGGTAGCTCAATTCGAAGATGTGCGAGTGTTCGTAGTTCGACACTGGTTCGTGAGATGCAATGCCACATGCTGCCTGTCTGCATATTGAGTTGCAGCTACGAAGAGACGGTTCGACTTAGGCCAAGGTTCAACATCTCAAGAACCATGGTATCTGCTTCGCGATTTCCCCTGCACGTTATGGAAAACGCCACAATTTCTGAACTCTGGCTGCCCCAGATCTGTGAAGCATGCTGTCCGGTGCTTCTTGGCCTGCACTGCTCCTGCATTGCTTGTCGTCCCTAACGTCTCTGCGCTTGACTTTTTGCACAGTCTTCTCCATGGTCCTTGCGTGACGGTCAAAGAGCTGCTGCAGGAGGACGCTGACAGCGTTGGTGGAAACGAGGCCCCACCTGACTACCTCGTTCCAACGCCGAGGAGATTTGATGCGGCGAGCTCAGAACAGCAAAACTCACCGCTCACGCACAGATTCACGTATACATATAAACAGACCTGCACCCACACACTTGAAATTAAACTGTGGTGATCTGTGGTATGAGCAGTCGTGTCGGTTGTGCTTGCGGGCTTGAGGTCAACGGCTGCCACGCAGGAGTGGACATTGAAGTTTTGGCAACTGCAACATGTCATCAGAGAAATTGAGCACTCGCTTACATGCTGCCGCGCCTTTCAGTAGTGACTAGTGGTTCTACAGCTGTACATGACTTTGTGTGAAAACCTTTTGAAGCTGGAACCTGAATGTTCCGTAAGTTTGTGGTATTGCTTTGTCAGAGATAGATCTGGAGGATCTGATCCGCTGGCCCTCACGATGAAAACAGTCTCGACCATGCGGTCATTCTGGGTAGCAAGCTTAGCATTTCCTTGCCTAGTCTCGAGTCTCTGGCATCAATAGCACAGGGCTGCTGAAAGTTAGAGCATCCTGTGAGCAGAGAACCTTGTCAGCCAAAGGAGAAGAAGGTGCGTGAAAACGCGGGCCGACGCCTCAAAGCTTCCAATTTGAGGTCTGTGAGGTTTGTAGTTTTTGCAAGTTGCATCATCCCAGGAAACAAGGATGGTGAGCGAGAGGCTGGATGATTGCTGGCTTCTCTTGTGATAGTTCAACTTGTCAGCAGGCCCGGTGGTCGAGGGCGTCCCACGTCGAGACCCAAAAGAATTCCCAAGGCCCAAGAAGACATCTCTGATCTTCAAGCCTCGAATTTCGTGCTGTGGGCTAGGGCCAGTATGGCTGAAGAAAGAACTCACCAAGCTTCAAGCCCACATGGACTGCCGCAGTCGCTTTGCATGCTGGCTCGGTCGACCATGCAAAGAGGCGAGACTTGTGTGCTTGGGGTGGAGGACGCAAACAAAGAGCGCCTGCTGGAACTGAGCCTTCGCACGCGGCCTGGTGAGACTCTCCGGACGCGGAGCACTTGCTTGATGTGGGTCGTACATTGACATGTTTGTAGCCTTGAATCAGCACTTCCCATCAGACAAGGCCTGCGGGGTCAAGAAGAGAACTGCGTGGATGACGAGCACAGCACACGCTGTTCCAGGACCGTCATTCCTTTGCGTACCGCCGTAGCGCCGTACCGCGGAGCAAAAAGAGAGAGAGAGAGAGAGAGAGAGAGAGAGAGAGAAGGAGCCATTTTGGCTCAAGTACTGCACCTTTGCTTGGGGGTGTGTTCCACCTCCTTGCATCGGGGGGCAACTGGTGGGGTTGGCTCGGACTGTTGATCCGAGAGAGCCCTGCCGTTGTCCCAGCGGTGCTTGAGACCAATCGTCCGCCGCCATTGTCCTTAAGTGGCCCTTGTAGCCTTCTTGGAGGATCATGGGACTTAGTAAGTAGGTTATAATTGGGGTTATAAGTCCCCTAAGTGGGGTTACCCTAATTATAACCTACTTATAACCCTACTTACTAAGTCCCATGATCCTTTAAGTTCGTGTCAGGGGCGAGCTATAAAGCTGACCGGCACGGTCGAACACTACTTGCAGTCCGGCGACCGGGGGACAGCAAGGCCTTCCTGCCCGACTTGACAGCCGAGGGGAACGCGGTCTTCTTCGCCAACAGCGCCCTGACACTCCTGGCCGAGCTTCGCTCACCGAACGACTGCGCTGGGAGGGGAGACCACACTTACAAGTCCGTGACTAGCAGAGAGACCGAGAACAATAACCACCGTGGGGGAGTGGTACAGATGGACCCAAGTGGGGGAAAAAAGCTGAAAGCGAAGAAGGAATGCCGCATATGCCGACAGGGCGCAGGCATTTGCCAGCAAGGATTCCGCAAGGTGCACGAGAGGGGGGATCCAGCATGCCGCTTCCATGGGTGCAGCGAGAAGGGGACGGGAAGCCGCCCGGTGACCCAAGGCAGCAACCCGCCATCGCGGGAGGCGGGGGACGTGAGAACCACACAGGTCCCTTTTACGCACATGACCAGGTTCACGACAAAGAGGGGGATAGGTCTACACTTCCTGCCTGGGCCACTCGACAAGTGGGGGAAGCGAGAGATCTCCAAGGAGGGCGACAAGTGGATGGACCTCGTGACAGGCGAGCCCTTGAATACCTCGAGGCGGGGGAGTATGCCAAATACCGAGAACGTTTTGAGGAAAGGTGCAAAATAGCCAGAACGGTGGACAAGCTTACCAGGATCGTGGACAAATACATGCCGAAGCTCGCCAATGAGACGCGGGCACATGTTATCCGCTTTCCACAAAAAGCCGGCCCAGTACTCAAAAAGGCACGCCAAATCCGGAAGAAGCTCCGGAGGCGGCGTAAAGCAGCGGGGGCGACAACCTCGAAGCCACCACCAAAACAAGCCGCGGGGGAGAAGCCACAGCCGACTTGAGACAAGGGGGTGAAGAAGATGAAGTCGACTGGGGGAGCACAGACTCAGCGACCACCGGAACAGAGCCGCACAGCCAAAGCAGGGGAGACCGAGAAGAAGCTGTGACGGCCGAGGACAGAGAAAGCCGTGAGACAGCACCAGCCGAAGACCGGAGCGAACAAGGAGGGGAAGACGCTGGAACAGCAGCCGCCGAAGACGACTCGCACGGAGGGGGACGCAGCTTGGGAAAAGAGAGACCGCGCACGCCAAGCAGAAGCCCACGGAGAAGAAGGTTGGGGGAGGAGCGTCCGCGCACTCCCAGCCGCAGCCCAAGGGGGAGAAAGCCGCAGCGCAGCCTGAGCAGCAGCCCACAGCGAGTACGACTACAGCCGAGCATGTGGTGGCAGGTACAGCATGTGCAGGAACACATGCGCAACAAGCGTGAGAGCCGTGAGCGCGACTTGTAAAAAATACAATGTGCGGGGGACGGGGACTGGGGGAGGGCATCTTTTTTTCTGTTGCTGCTGCCCTGTGCCTTCCCTGGTTCCCGAGTTTCTCCTTTGAACCCTTGCCGGGGGGATGCATACATACTTGCAGGTAGCTCGAAGTAGCCGCCGAGTGGTTTTCCCTCTTTTGCAACAGCTCGAAGTAGCGACCGAAAGCCCAATTCAATTGCACCAGTCGCCAACCTGCGACTTTTGTTACCAACCGCCACAGTCATTCAATGCGCTTTCACCGACTGTGTCCATACTGGAAGAATAATTCAACCGGCCTTTTTCGTATGACTGCGTGAGGGGGGGACGAGCTACTGACTCTACTGGGCAATATTTGTACACTACAAGCTGGCGAACCCTCAACGATTAACCGTGGCGACCCCACAAACCTTCTCGTACTTGCTGTATCGTATGGTCTCGATATGCCCTGTCCTCAGTTGTTGTTTGTGCTGCAAAAAGGGGGGACCTGCCACCAACCGTTGGGCAATGCTAGGGGGAGGCGTCTGGCGAAGGTACCAAGGATCTAGCCATAGTGGGCGCGGGGATGAGGCCGGGACGCGGGCTAAAGTTCAGGGTCGGGGGATTTTCGCCAGACGTACTCTACCGCGCATGCCAACCGAGGGGAACAGCCCCGAGCACCCGACCCCACTGCCTCTCTCCCACCAACGCGTAAGGGGGAGGGGGGGCCTCGGCCCGGGTCTTCGGACCTATCCCTCGCAGCAAGCAAGCAAGCAAGAGAGAAGGAGCCCTTCATCCAAAAGCAGCTGCCCTTCTCTCAGCTCCGACTCGGACACATCCAAGAGCCGGAGACTCGGAAAGGACGTTTTGCGAGCGTAGCCTTGCTTGCTTGCTTGGCCTGCGGAGGGAGCGGTGAGAGCCGCATAACGATGCCATAACAGCAGATGCAAAGAGGCTTCGCTCAGCTTTCGCTGATCTTGTGAATCGCTAAGGTACAGTAAGGCCTCCATATTCCATGTCTCATCCCAGACTTGTTGTTGAGTTTTGCGAGCCGAGACCGCATGAATCAGTGAAGTGTTCGTGTAGCATGCTTTCAACGAATGCGCTTGTTCTGATGATTGCGAAAAGGTCAAGAGACTCCAGAGGATGACGAACTTCTCATGTCCGCAAGCTTAGTACTGAAGCCAGAAAGCGCCGATGTTTCGCAGATGTCCTTTGCACTGAGGAGCCTCAAGTCTCTGAGACATGACTTCAGCAAGGTCAATCGCAAGGCCCCTGTCGATGTCGGATCATGTCGGAGTGCTTGTCTCGATTGATTCGCCGACCGGAGACAGCAGCTCTCTTCGAGGAGGTTCTTGAGAGGCGGCGGTCCTACGTCCTTCAGGGCAAGCACCAAGTCTTTCGTGAAGCTGTTGAAGGGCAAAGCCCTGGAAGACCTCAGGTGTCTGCCGAAGGAGAAGCTCCGTCTCAGCCTTATCGGCTCCGGCACAGCACCTGCGATAAGGTATCCTATTGCAATCTCTTGCAGACTCCCGCGTTACAAGAGTGATAGTCATAGAGCATCGAGGCTTTTTCGACAGGGTTGATCAGTAGCTTGGCGAAGGAATGGAGGATTCCCTGACTGCGGAGGCGCCCTCCCTTCAGGTGGGATTCCGCGCCTATCGAAGATGTCCGAAGTCAGCTGCGAAACTATGCAGAAGAAGTGTCCTGCAAGGTGGATTTCTGACGCCGAGGTTCTTTTCAGTGTAGCTTTAGTTTTTTGACCAGGAGTTTTTTGTGAAGCCTGCCCAACCACAAGATCCGGGATCTGATTCCCCGCTGAGTCGCCACTCTAAGAGTTGATGAGGGTCGGGCTCTTCAGGAAGCATGCCTGCATGCGAGCTTAATTCGTGTCAATGTTTGCAAATGCAGTGCACGTCCGAGTATTGAGCGTCACGAGACCTGTTTGCGGAAGACTTGCCTCATTCTGCTGGCTTGCAAGTGACGCACGTCCTGATCTGCGGTTGATCTTATCGACTTTCACGAGTGTCAACAGTTGCTCGTTTGGAATCAGGGCTTTCTCTGCAGCCGCTTGAGATTCGTAGATTCGTTCTGGGTCCCACAGCTGGCCTTCCCAGCACTACCATGATGTTGGACAGCAGAGACCCTACTCATGGTGCACGCCGTGGACCCAACACCTTGATGAAGCGTGGCAGCTCCCCAGCAGATCTTGTACCGGATGACAAGGTCAACCTCGAGTGACCTCGAACTCCTACGCGAGCGAAGCTCAGAGAAGGTTGTCAAATCCCAACCACCACGTTCATAGGTTTCGTTTTCCTGAGGAACGGTTCCAATCAAAACTGCGGGAACGTTATCTCCGACATCCCCAGCACGCGCGCGGCCCTTGATATTCATCCCGATCTTTGACCCCTTCAATGGTCTTGACAGGTCTCATGCGCAAATAATAGGGAGGCATTGTGCTGTGCCGGGAAACTTGTGCGCCTGAAGGTGTCGCTGCTCCGCCTGGCGGCAAATCCTCCATCTGTCTCGGCTGGGATGACAGGCCGGACGGCCGGACTTTCGAGCTAAGGGCGAACTCTGTGCGTTGAGCTCCTGAAGGCCGGTTGCTCGAGCTGCAGGCCTTTGCAAGTCCTTGAGTTCATTTCATCGCAGGGCTGTTCACTGTTTCGCAGCTGAAATGCAGATGCCGATGCCCTTCACCTGTGTGTGCTGGAACTGAGCGTTGTGAATGCTCAGGCAGGCCTGTGGAGGAGGCATCGCGAGCTCAGGCTCTGCGGCATGAGTCGGCATTATTGAATGTTTCATACATTTGCAGCAGAAGGCGCATCGCCCGCCGGCTGGCGAAGCCGTGCGCCGGGATCGCAGGCCGCGTGATCGCAGTCAGCCTCGTTGCGACAGCCTGCAACAGTCAGTCCGGACAGGTCAGTCCCGGAGGATCAAGCACAGGCAAGTGAATCGCAAATTGTGCTGCAAAATCGTAACAGCACTGGGAACAACACTGAGAGAGGATGCACGAGAGGATGCAGAAGACTGTTCTGCCAGAGGCATATGGGACACGCCCACGCGAGAGGCCACCGAATCGTTGCTTTTGCATCCTTTTCCAGCTTTTTTGGGCTGGAGTGCCAGCGGAGAGCTGAAGTGGCATACTGTCATACTGCCGTCCTGATTCTAGCATGCGTGGCGCAAGTGTAGGGTTGGAGTCTGTGTCCTGGCAATCCTGGTTGTTGCAGAAGTGTACTGCAATGTCGTCAGACTTCGGAAGAAAGAGTTCAAAAGAGCATGCTCTGTTACCCTTGTGCAATCCTCCGAGCAACTGAATTCTGGGTTTCATGATCCCAGCCGGCACAGTTCCAACAGCTATGCCTCCGGCAACAGCCAGAACACTGGGAATGTGCTGACGGGTGCAGCCTCCTCAGCTTGGGAGCGCACGAGAACTGCGGCTTCGTTTGTAGCATTGTTGAATGAAGTCACCTGGTTTTGCGGGCATTTCGGGATGCTCGCGGGAGATGAGTAGAAATGACCAAGGTCCCAACGACGCGCGTCTCGAGGTTCTTTGCATGAGTCTGCTTTTTGCAACTTTGCCACGGCAGCAAGATGCCAGGCCACCAGGAGGTGCTTCGGAGATGAGCCTGGCATGGGATACAGGCGCTCGTCCCCCAGCAGGAGCTCGGCGGGGACCTGCTGCATCCGCCTCAGCGTCTCTTTACTTGGCGGAGCGATGCGGAGTGTCGCAACGCGTCCTGCAAGGCCGGCAGCGGGCACGGCAGTGGGCAGGCGCCGGCCAGCGAGGACTCCCGGGCCCAACGCCTTTGATCGCGTTGCCTTTCCCCGTGGACGCATCCTTGCTCCTTGCTTGAGTGCTTGCCTGGAATTTGCAGGCCTTCGGGCAACGCGTGCGCGTTTCGTCGAACTCCTATGCCAACGGTGCAGATCAGCGCAAGACCTAATTAGTGACAGTGACCTAGTGCTGTTGTTCTTATGTGTCACATTATTTGCTGAGGAACTGCGGCAACGTGCTGTCCGATACCCCTACGACAAGGGTCTTAAGGCTGCAGCCGGGGATGTGTTAAGGCAAGGCTATGCACCGCTTGGGTACCTCAGCAGAACTGAAGTCGAGGCCCCCAGGCGGCGGGAGTTCGATAAACCTGGGCTGGGCGTGCGTAGCCCAGAGAAAGAACATCAGCCAGAAAGCTACAGCCACGATGCGTTTATGTACGGCATCCGTCCTTCGGTGCAGTCCTGCCTGCAGCAGCTGCTGTAAGTCAGCTATTGTAGGTGGCCGTAGATTGTGTGCCGTGCATGCAGAATCTTCAGCTAAGGTGATTCTGAAGAAGGAGATGTTCCTCTCCTATGCGGCTTTCTCTCGCCGAGGATCAAAAGCACCGGCTTGATAGCAGCGTATCCACACGCACGTGTGTTTACACGGTTGTTATCCGCAAGAGGATGAAAACTACAGAAGGGATCGGTGTAGGGGATGAGAATCAAAGGCTTGATTCTTTCATCGTTGAATCCAGGGATAGAGGAACTCATGGCGCGTGGCCTGGCTGAAGTGGGAGAATGCACAGACGGATCTCCCAAAATGGTCTTCATTCAATTCAGGGCAGCACTGTCGGGGCATTGGCCTGTCGTCCCTCGACTATCATACTGTTCTAACAAACCTTGTTGTGACCACCATGCCGGGCATCGGCTGCTGTCCCTCACATCTTAGTAGTCTGAGATTTGCATGTTGCCGTGCTCGCAATTCATGTGCGGTGACCGGCTGGTCATCGTGCTCTCCCGAGAGAACTTGTGACATCTCTGAGGGTTGCTGAACTTGGACGTTCTCTTGCCAAGTTGCTGGGAGTGCATTGAATGTAGCACTTGCTGCTTTTCAAGCATCGTGCTGGCTGCGAATGCAGCAGGCTGTGTCCTTGGAAGCGGCTTCCGAAGCTAGAGTGCTTGACGGCACTATTCAGAGAGATGTGGGCGCAGAAACACATTCAAGCCCGGAGAGATGCAATTTCTTGAGAGTGCAGTGTTGTGGGCTCTGGGCGTCTTGCAAGTAACCATGACTGCAGCTTGTATGACAGCATATCCATGATCGCCTGACTGGCATCCCACTAGACCTCGGTCACCTCGGGACCTCGGTCGCCCTCGGCAGCTTGAGGCTATAACTCACTTAGACTATGACTCACATGCCTCAGCATGAAATCTGCTCGGCAGCCCAAGCTATGAACTTTCGGCCTAGGCATCGCCTTACTTTGAGCAACCATCAACCGGTTCCGTTTGCGCTTGATGCCATGGATGGGAAAGCTGCCAAGAAGATTGTTGATGGGGTTGGCAAACAAACTGCGATATCCGTGAGGAGGCTCGCTAAGCGGCACCTCTCGCACCTGGCAGCCTTGAGAGTGAAGCTGTGCCTATCATTTCTTCTCTATGGCATATCCTTTGCAGTGATTGCCGTGTTATTCAGCGCCTCCGAGGGCACACTGGAGCTGTCTCGGATTGATATCCACGATGTATCGAGCACCTCTTTGTTGATTTGGTTAAAGGATTGCACCATGGACTTGAAGGTGCAAGATGGATCTTCGATATCTATCACAGAAACTACAACTGAGTTTGATCCGAACCGCAAGCAGCTGCACGTAGACTGGAATGAAACCGCGGACGTACTGTCAATCACTTGTTCTGGCCCTGCTTCCGACTATGGCGATGCAGTCACGGTTGTGGTTGAGATTGGCCACACAATTCACTTCCAAACGTTCGAAGTCGTGTTCGAACCTGGGGGAGGGAGGAGTTTGTTTCGCTCCAATTTCTCAGGTTTGGACAACGAGTCTCTGGGAGACAAGGTTTCGGCATCCGGGGACGAAGGTGTTATCCAGATGTATTATGCAACAATGGGATCCTTGTCCGTACAGCTAGACCATGGCTTCGTCTTCCTCTATGAAGTGAACTTTGCAGACGCCAGCTTCGTACTTGGCGGGCAGGTGGACATCTATCTTTGGCAGGAGACATGGCAGGCTGGTCTCGATATCAATATACAAACAGGCGATGGCCAGAACACTAGCTCCGGGCTCTGCATATCGGATTGGTCTTCACGGCCGTTGCCGCAGATTTCGAATTTGGATGGCTATGACTACGTTTTCTCCGTTGGCTCCGGGGCAAATCGTCGTCCGATGAACATTATCCGGAACAGTGCCTTGAGTCGCCTCTACCTTCAGAGCGGCGTGTGGCGAAGCCAGAGGCATTGCAACAATACCTTTGATTCAGTGATCCGCATTGATTCGCAGTTGGAAGACAGTTTCAAAGCATGGGCAGCGGTGGCCGAAACCAGATCAGAGCTACTGAACTTGTGGCTGATGGGCCCTTCTTTGGGAAGTGAGATCCAGTCTATGACCTCAGATGGGTTTTGGATCTTTTCTCGGTTTGGGGATGCTCTCATGTGGTTTCCCAGCGGACTTTGGAACATCTTCACCGTGGGGCTGTTTACTCTTCGCACATCGCGCGGAACCTTTCTTGTGAAGGATTCCTTGTGCACGACCAAACATGACAGGCTGACAGCTGGTACGCCCGATTGTGCTTCGGCAGGGATTTGCGAATCAAGCGGCTTTGTGCTTTTGCAAAAAGCCATAATTGGCGCATGTTGGTGCTAGATGAAACACGAGGGTAAAATCTTTCCATTGTGCGCCTGAGGCAGACCCAAAAACTCGACAGAGACGTTGTGGCACCAACAGACGATGGAGCGCT